GTGTCCTTTATAATACAATATCGTCGCACACTAATTTGCATACAGCCATGGTCTGTTCCAAATAATTCGTTTTTGGACTTAGAAAAAAATCGCATTGCTAATTTCTGCACTAATCTCTCCTCAGTAAAGTTCTTTTTCTACGTTTCTTTTGTCCCTACCATTGAGACTGTAGTTAGGCCGAACTGAGTTTAAGAGATATTTCACACTTGCACATATCAACTACATACATTGTAGAGATAAATGAGAAAATACAGTTTTTTTCTATTTCCGACAGTACTTTAGGTTGTAATCACAGTCACGCCTGATTGATCCAAAGTTGTCTGATAACTGACGTGTCTGACAGTTGGGATGTCTAACTTATGGAATAAATTTGCAAGTGTTTAAAGCAGCGAAGAGGCGTTTGGAGACCCCCTTCTTTATCTCGGTTAATTGTGTGTTCAGCAATAATAAATACCAAATAAAAAACAACTTTCTTATATATACAGGATGTACATGAGGACTGCTACAGTCACAATGGATTGACATGAGAGTGACGATGAGAGCTGTCGGGATAGGTTTGTATGTTGAGGTACAACATCTTCTTATAAGTTTTCATTACTATCAACGCATCCCACTAATATATGATAACATACATGATAACAGCACTCCAGTCTCTCTCTCTCTCTCTCTCTCTCTCTCTCTCTCTCTCTCTCTCTCTCTCTCTCTCTCTATATATATATATATATATATATATATATATAAACCCTCGGACCAAGAAAAGCCGGGACGGGAATTACAATGAAATGGATCACCATTGACGAGCCATATTTCCAATAGCACTGAGTTATTTCGCATGTTGGACGTTAACAATTAAATAAATAAGCTCTTGTACTGAGGCTTATCTTGCTGTGATTTCTGTACCATTTCGTGAATAAATGTATCGTCGAAGCAGTATGTCAGATACACAGTTTCCAACACAAGGTAGTATCTGTGTGTTGTTCTATGAAGCCATATCACATAAAAATGATAGAACTCTGGATCATTCGCAGATTGTTGCGCAGCGACATTTCTGACAATATTTTCAGTCATCACTCGATCCTGAACTGTGCCACCAGTGTTATGCCCTTGGTGGTTAAAAACGATACTTTTTGAGTGCTTCTGTATTCTCAAATCATCTGCAATACAATATCACGTCATACTGTAGTTAGGTAGTTGGGTAACTTGTTCCATGGCACTACTTGTGTTAAGTGCCTAGTGACCACATACCAATCCGTGAAACAATTATTAATGAAACAATAGGCGAGAGCTTTCAATACAACTGAAAGCTTATGACAAGTAATTAATGACAGATGGTCGGATTGGGGTGTGCTGATGGTTATAGGCCGGGAAAGCCACTTTTAAGAAAATCCGAGTTGAAAATGGTATGACTCAATGGGCAATGGGCATGGTTGAGTGATCGGGTGAATATGGCTCTCCCGGCAATGGGCTATGAGCTAATCCATGTTACCGTAAATAAAGGAGATTTTTTAATATCGCTCTAAATTTGCCGAATTAAATCAAAAAAAGTCATGATACTTATAAATATACACTCATTCATTTACAACCTCCAAAACATGGAAAAACATGTATTTTGAGTAAAAGTAAATATTCTCGCCCATGGGCCAAACGTTTTTCGCCCATGGGCGAGATTTTTTAATATCGCTCTAAATTAGCCGAATTAAGTCAAAATGAGTTGAAATTTGTGTCATGATGCTAATAAACATACACTCATTTATTTACATTTACAACTTCCAAAACATGAATTCTGAGCGAAACTAAACATTCTCGCCCATTTTTTCATCCTTAGCATATATTCATAACAACTGCATGTTTAATTTGGTCGAATTCCTTGTCAGAAAGTGCCCACAGTGCGGAGAGTTTCTGGACTTTTGTGAGTCCAGAATTAATTTGTGACGTGTTTTATGTTTTTTCTGGGAAAACGATAAGCTGAACAATTTAGAGAGAATCTATTATCCGATCGTGTTCAATCATTACTTCATAAATCAGTTGATTACGCATTCACAAATATTGATGACAGCATTAAATATGTCACTAATGCCCTCTGTTTAGCTGCGGAAAATATGAAAAGAAGAATTGGAACATCAAAGAAAATATCAAACAAATGGTTATCTCCCATTTGACAGACACCCATTTGACAGACACCCAATTGACAGACACTGAACTAGAAGGTTAATTAGGGTAACACCTACGGGTATAATGGAACAGTCCACTGTTTAGTGAGTAGAGCAGGGTGAGCCTGAAACAGGTTCGTTACTGAGAAGTTTGATTGTAGGTACATAGAACTTTGTTGTGTTTAAATGATAAATGATTTCTCTTCTCAAAATTGTTTTTACTATCAATTACTATCGAATATAAAAACAGGTTTGTCACTGAGAGGTTTGATTGTGTTTATTGATAGAAAAGCCCCCTCCCAATAATAGCATATGTACAACAGAAGTTAACTGAGAAAACGTTTTGTGAGAGAGATATAGATATGTACATATTTATAAACATTCTGATTTGCAGTAAATGAGACACCTGCATTGCCATGTAAGATACGATTAATACAAATCAGTGTTCTAATTTTAACAACACTTTCTAAAGATTGTAACAGTTTATGTCTTTGAGTAGTATACAAGGGACATTCAAGGACGTAATGATAAACATTCTCACATCCATGGCCACATTGACATGATGCGTCATAATTTAAATATTTATTCTAAATAAATCGTAATTAAGTGCACTCGTCATATATCTTAATACTGTGTGCAAAACATATAACTTCTTTATTCCATATGAATAATATTTAGGTTCACATTTACTTTATTTGATTTATATGATACATCAGTGTCGCAATTTCTAATAGCTAAGCTAATGTTTTCAATATAATGATGCCGACTCCCGTTAGACTAGAAGGTTAAACCGAAATGTTTGTGAAAAACTGTTTTCATATTGCAGCAATAAAAATTCAAATTACTGTCTTTTCGTCCATCTTTCAAAATAAATAATATAGCTTCAGTTTTAATACAAGACAAATCTTATGGATAACAACTTCTTGATTTATGTTATCCGTAAGATTTGTCTTGTATTACTACATCAGCTTCTAAATGCCTTTGAAGAATTTAGCTTCAGTTTGTTCCTGTGCTTTTATTTGGACTATTCCATAATAATGTGTAGGTAACAGGTAGTAGATAATCTGTTCACCGAACCATAAATGTTGTTGTTTTAAGGTGTCTGCGAACTGGCTGTCTGCGTAATGGGAGGACACCACTGAAAACGGTTATCTCCCATTTGACAGACACCCAATTGACAGATACTGAACGTGCAAGCGTCCCCTCTGATTAGGTACACAAATTCTGTATGAGCCATTTGACTTGGACTGATCTGTTTCATCTGCGCAGGTCAAGACTGAAAGGGATTCACCCGTTCTTGGAATCTTGAGGTTTACTTAGATGAGAGGTACTGTCCATACACAGGTCTTAGTGTCCGCATACATCAGCTCCCAAGTCCAAATGACAACGAGGACCCTGTAGCTCTCTGTCTTGTCAAGACCCACAAATTTCACGGCTTGTATCTCTCCGCATTCCTCCCAAGCTTTGTAGAAGAGAGTGTAAGCTTGGGGCCCACGTCTAGGTAAGATAGACAACAGTTCCCTGACACGGTCAAAAGAGTCCTGAGGTTTTTCGATAATTTCAAGTGGAAGAGACACAAACCTTTGTCAATATTTAGCACAATCTGTTTAGTAGTAATGCAATTATCCAGATCATTCAGACCTAGACATGTTATAGTGATTTCAATTTCAATATGAATACATATCTTGTGGCTACCAATTCAACATCAGACAACGTTATGGACGGTAGAAATGTCCAGCCTACAGGACATACCAAACTTATCACGAAGTCAACATATGTTCTGGATAACTTCAGAGCTTAACAACGGGGTAACCCATGATAACAGTCAACAAAATCAACTGTAAGGGTCACGTTATTTGGATGTCAAAGGAAGATGGAGGTGTATGTGTCTTACCTATTTTGGGATTATACTGTAATGATTATTTTTTTCTTACCTTATTTCAGTAGGATGTTCTGGAACTGTGAATAACTTGTCTGACGTGGACTTCTTCAGCAGTCATATGTGTGAATGAAATGTGTAGAAATGATGGCCTTTTTATAGGTGAAGGAAAACCAAGTTCTATGGATAGTCAACTTCTTTATTGCAATGTGTGCGACGTTTCGGTGTAGGTACTAACACCGTTATCAAGCAAGTGATACAAAGAGTTGTAACATGGAGAATATATACATAGCTGCATAGTGTGTATATACAATTGACACGGTTGATTAATTAGTGATTTGAGCAGATTAGGTTGATGTACAGAGTGATAGTGATTCAAACAAATGCAGATTAAGTTTATACATAGATGAGCTGATGTACACTGGGATGGTAATCGTGAGTTGAAGAGAGTAGGTTGATGTAGACATTGATTGGTTGTGATTACAATACACAAAAGGGAGCATAGAAGCCAATGGACGAGGTATGGATGGATTACTGGTGATATTAAATTAGGTGGTGATAGGCTGAGGAGATAAAATAACCTTGATCCCGGTTCATGCTGGGGTTGAAGCGTTGGATTTTTATGGCTCCAATGAGTTTCCTAATCCTGTAGTCTGATCGATTGGTTTCCAGGATGTGGATATTGTCCCAAAGGATGGCATGGTCAGGGTTGGCTTGGGTGTGGTCGGCTATGGTGGATTTGGAGTCTTATTTCTTGACTGAAGTTTTGTGTTCTTTAATTCGTAGTGGGAGAGGGCGCGACGTTTCACCTCTATAAGAGTCTCCACATTGGGAATTGATCTGGTAGATTACTCCTGTGGGGTCTTCTTTAGTTGTTGATAGGGGTTTGCCTGTGGCTTGGAGGAGGTTTTGGATGGACTTGCCTTTCTGGAACAGAACGTCTATACCTGCTTGCTGCTGCAGTAGTCGTCTTATCTGGTGGCTGACTGCTGGGACATACGGGGTGCTGATTGCCGACGGAGTGATTTATCTCTTGGGTTGAGGGTGGATCTGATGACGTTGTTAAATAACTTCAGGGGGTACTGGTTATAACGGATGAAGACATGGCGGAGGTGGTTTAGTTCGATTTCTAGGGTTTCTGTTGTCGAGCAGATGTTCTTGGCTCTTCGGGTAAGGGTGGAAATGATGCCTTTCTTAATCTGCAGAGGGTGATTGGAGGTGAAGTGGAGATATTGGTCGGTATGAGTGGGTTTCCTGTTGACAGTGGTGGAGAGCTTGTTTTCTTGTTTCTGTACCAGGACGTCGAGGAAAGGGAGTTTGTTATCAGCTTCTTCTTCCATTGTGAACTGCATACGGGGATGTTGAGAATTGAGGTGGTCGAGGAGGTGTTCAGGGTCGTCATCGTGGTTGAGGACTACACAGGAGTCGTCTACTTTCCTGTACGAGCATATTTGAGCGATGGTGGATGTCAGCAGGGCCTTATCTTCAAGCTCCGTCATGTATATCTCAGTGATAGGGGAGAGAGGAGAACCCATGGGTAACCCATGGGTTTGCTGAAAGATCCCCCATCGCTCCAATATGCTCTTACAGGAAAGTAGACGACACCATTGTAGTCCTCAACCCCGAGAACTTCTGAGTTGCTCCTTGTACCAAATCCTGAGTGGTTAAGAATGAAATCTGATGACAGTGTAATCTATTTCAAACAGCCTAGTGATACTTTGCTCTGCAAAGGTTCTATTTGATTTAACAAAATGAGGGTCGAGTTTTAAATTGGTTTACATGGAACAAGGCTGACTTTGACCAAATAAATAGCATACTAAATATAAATAAAATCTTTAGCATCGAAATTCACCTAATATTAATATTGTAATATTAATTCTACGTTGAAAATTCAATAAAAGATATTAATAATTATAACGTATCTATGCATCAAATTTATTGTATGACGTTTGCTGTGCGAACCCAACACTCGAGTCGTATTCCATACCAGCAAATCAAACTCATGCCATTCTTATTCATAAAACAATTGAATAATAATCACAGACCACCAAGGTGAACCTAAAGGTCAAACACTTGGGCCGGAAGGGGACTCATCCAAAAGGGGGTGGGGCTTCAGGGTTCAAAACTCACAAACTGTCAAAATCGATTAGGTCAAAAAAGGTCACACACTTGTGTGATGACGTCATCAAAACAAAATGGCGGATTTTCGTTTATTTACCTAGGTATACAACACATATCTTCAAGGGTATTAGATTTCATTCAATTATTGGTTTTTAAAAGCGACTTGACTTATCTGATAAATTGTGATGTATAAAGGAGGAGGGGAGGAGGAGGGGAAAGGCCAAAGGTTAAAGTGTTCGCTCGTCACGCCAAGGACCGGGTTCGATTCCTCACATGCATACAATATGTGAAGCCCATTTATGGTGTTCCACCTCCATTGCATGAAACCCATCCACTCACTACTCTCGACGGGAGTTGTAGTACCTTAAAATTATCATCCCCCTGAGGGTGTAAAACTATGAGTGAGTGAGTGAGTGAGTAAGTGAGTTAAAATTTAAAGTTACTTTGACAATATTTCAGCCATATCGTGACTAAAACAGTAAATACTGCTGCCAAAGGACAGTAAAACAACTAGTATATCACAGTAAGAGATTTAAAACTAGCATGTAACTTAACAAATATAGACTATTTAGGACGTTACAACATAAAAATGGGCTATAGATTGCCAGCAACTGAAGGTAATCACCATTCTATGGACCATGGGGACTTACAGTACCTTTTGCTACCTGCATGGTCCCTAGTTGGAGTTACACCATCCCATCAGGTGCTGGCGATTGTAGGAAACTCTAGCAATAATTTGAAATGACACAAATAGTACGCTTAAAATCTGGTAAGTATACATTTGCTTTGAAAGTTTTGGGACTTACGTACCCCCACACAGAAGGACAATAATTTTACAATACTTCAACCCCCTGTGATGATCAAGTCACTAATCATCTAAGTTGTTAATTTGTAATACCCAGAATAAAATATATATCTATACACAAAACATATCAATCAAAATTTATCAAGATATTCTATTTCTTTTAAAACATCAATAATTAGATGATAGTTAACATAAAAAAGATACTTCACTGTTTTGACATTGAAATAGTTATCCTTTGTGATGAAAAATGTAATACTATGTAAAACAATGCCTTTTAAAGTATTTTCTAATGTATTCAATTAATTTTTTGTTTAGGCATGTGAGTTATTTCACAAATTATGAATCATATATTTTGTATCTAACTCGTGGTGGAATATCTATGGCAGCTGAGACTCTTTGTGGCGATACCCTTCAAATGGTTGAAGTATTGTAAAAATACTGTCACCCTGAGTTGGTATTGTATTTGTATATCTGCCACTGTTTTTAAAGCGAAGAATATGTGTTAATTTAATTTTGGCTAAAATTGCAAATTACCGCCATTAACATAAATTTATTATGAATGTATCACATTTATCCCTTAAACAGATATACTGTAAGCCCATCTGGTGTCCACTGCCGTGCTATTTGTGGAATATTGCTCAAAGCGGGCGTAAAGCTCACTCACTCACTTAACCTGAACTGCATCATTCAATATTGTCATATAACACATGTTCATCAATATGTGTTACATTGCTCTTCATGTAAAGCACTATAACCTCCATGCATGCCACAAAACAATGAAGAAGACTAAAATATTATGTTAACACGAATATCTGTAACTTGATATGAAAACTGAAAGACATCCTTCACTAATTGCACAAAACATTGACTATGAAACATAATATGCGAGATTATCGATGTCTGCAACATACTAGTCTTAAATTGTTTCCTATCCTTTAATCCCGTCACTACAATAATACACAAAACTCATTTCATAAAGCATCGACTAAGAATAACGTTACACAAGATCATCAACATCTGTTCACGCCTTCCAGAAAACATCGACGAAGGCTAGAAAATCACGAACATATGTTACCTGCCACGAAAACTGAAAAAAAATGTCATTCACTCATGCACAAAACAGTGACGAAGACTAACATGACGTGAGATTATCATGTCTGTTACCTGCCCGTCATAAAATGCGTGGTAAAATTCACTACCTGCTCAAAACAACTAATAAAGACGAAATATAGGAAGAAAAAGGCACCATTTGAAAACCTATTCCTTGTCTATGCACAGATTGCTGAATAAATAAATACTAGTTTTAGAGTTATGGTCCAGTCAAACTCACTGATAGGAACAAAACAGAAGTCAAACTTTCGGCCTTTGAAGCAAGACAAACATATTTAAAGTATTTCATAAATGCAAGTCTCCACTTCAGCCCTGATTAATATGTTGAATAGGTTTAGTACTGCTTATACGACTAGTTCCATGGAAAAATGAAATTGCATCAGCAAAAATATCTTACATAGTAAAAAGCAGTCTGTTTGATATGTGTGCCACGTTTTCTTGAAAGAACGGTTTTGAAGTTGTTCTTGACAGTGATATGAAATCATCAGCGTCTGTTACGCTCTGGTCATAAACTACATGGTATCCTTCAGCCATTGCCAGAAACGACTGAGAGTAAAACTACACAGGATGAACAATGTCTGTTACATGCGCGTCAGAGAAGTAGATTGTCACATTTTGTTGCTGATCACAGACAACATGTAATGGTGACCTCAACCTACAAGCTACACTTATTTCACTGGACAACCCTGCGAAACAAGAAAGTCAAGCACGTTACGTTTTCTATCACGCTTTGCTATCATGGCTGCCGTTTTCCCGTCCTTGTCCCTGTCGTTAATGTCGACCAGCTTCCGTGACAGGATGTGCTTCACCATCTCCACATGTCCACCTGATGAGGCCAGATGAAGGATGTTGCCACCATTGTCATCAACTAGGTCAGCTAGACCACCATTTCTCACAAGCAGACCAAATACGTCCATGTGTCCAGTACATGCTGCTCTCATCAATGGCGTCGTCCCATTTCTTCCTCTGCTGTTAATGTCCACGATGTCGTTTGATATGATACTCTGAATAATTTCTGTCTGACCCAAACTGGCGGCAATATGAAGTACGTTGTATCCTTCGTCATCCACGAGTGACATATTAGCTCCCCTTCTCACAAGGAAGTCAAAAGCCACTCTTCTTCCCACTGATGCAGTCCCCATCAAGGGTGTCTTTCCATCTTTTCTCCTGCTGTTGATATCAACACAGCCTTGTGAAAGTAGATACTTCACCACATCCACGTGTCCGCCCCGGCAGGCAAAGTCCAGGGCGTTTCTGCCTTGATAATGACCGGACACATTAGTTCCCATACACACAAGGAACTCACATAGATCCTTCTGTCCACTATATGCAGCAAGGGCTAGGAGACGTATTTTCCTATCGTTGACGTTTTTTCTGTATTGTTGGAGTACACACTTCAACATACCCACATGTCCGCCCTTGCATGCCCAATGCAGGGCGTTCTTACCGTCATTATTAACTTCTGACATATTAGCCCCTTTTCTGATAAGCAAATCAAATATTCTACAATGTCCCTCCTTTGCTGCCACCATGAGGGGTGTCTTTCCGTTCTCCTTGTCTCTGATGTTGATGTCTACCAAACCCTGGGACAGCATGCGTTCAACTCGGTTCAGGTCCCCCCTCCTGCAGGCCTCGTGAAGTGAGCTGTTGGCAAATGTTTCCTGCTTGTCAACTTTAGGTTCTGGAGATGTCTCAAAGTCGTTCTGCTTTTCATCTGTGGATATGTATATGATGATGATAATATGCAGTCAATTTGATGACACCATTCATAGCAGTAAACATGTAACAGAAGACCCTGAAGATCCGGGTTGGACTTGATCTTCAGTAACCCATGCTCCTCGCATGTTTGGGTGGTCAGCCTCGCTGACTTGGTTGACACATGTTATCGTATTCCATTTGGTAGATTAATGCTCATACTATTAATCACTAGATTGTCTGTTCCAGACTGCATTTTTTACAGACCGCTGTCATGTTACGGGAATATTGCTGAGTGCAATAAGAGAATATATACTGTATTACCGACTGTGTATGGTGTGCCAGAAATGGTCATTTGTGCGCAGTAGTCGGTTCTGAATGGAGCCTAGAAAATATACTAAGCAAATGAGAATTTTGTTAAGTAAACGTTTCTGACTAGAAACCCTTATGGCACATCATCACAACTTCGGGCATTGATATCAACCATGTTTATTATAGCCATGAACATGTTGATTGGAAATTGGAAGTTCTACTGTTACCTCTGATAAATTTCCGGACAACGCTTCGAGACTAAAGAATGGCCGAGGTTGTCAATGAAGTCTTGAAAGGTATTTAAAAGTTGGACAAACATGAATACATGACACGCACAAGGATCAACAAGGAGCAACACCGATACAATCTTAAAATTATTTTCATTAGTTAACTTTAGGGGAAGTGAAGGATCCATGGCCCCGTAAGACCAATGGCCGTGATAACGGTGTCCAAATTTGTCTGGCAGGACACAATCCCATAACATATGCCAAGAACTATGTTGGTAATGGTGAGTTTGACTGATACCATTAGAAGGAGGTCATCAGTCTGCAGACGTCGAGTTGGGTATGACTAACAGTAGGATCTCATTACTGTTATCTGGGACATTCAATGGGCAACATCCTTAACAGGAAGTATTGGATACCGTTGTTGTGCGATATTTTGAAAACCACCCCCTTTGTCAGCCAGGAAAGCCGTCACGACATTGACACAATATGAACCCCATCAACCATTGTTTTTGGTTATCCGTGCGAGGGATGGCTACACTAGATACTGATTTGGTTGCCAGTGGGGCTTCATACATTCACAACAAACAGAGTAAAATAGTGAGTGATTGAGTTAAATTTATCGTCACATCGGCAACACTTCAGCCATATCGTGACGAGCGAACCTTATACAGCAATAAAAAAATCTTTGAGAAATCTTTAAACAGTACAGTACAACAACTAGTACTACACATTTTATTTAAAACTAGTTAGGGAGCATATAAAATAGTAAACTGTTAAGTGACAACACAATATAAAAAAGGGGCTATAGATTGCCAACAACTGAAGTTAGGTCACTCTATTAGGGACCATGGGGCCAAAATTAAAACCACAAAAGTACTACGTTTTGAAAAGGTTAGTAAGATTAAATTTAACTTTAAAAATTTTGGGACTTATGTACCCTCTCAGGAGGACAATAATTTTATGATACTTTAACCCCCCTTTGAGGATACAGCCACTTATATTCTCAGTTGATAACATAAACTACCATTTATAAAATACCACTTATCTATGTACAAAATATATTATTCAAAACGTATCTAATAATTCTATTTCCTTTAAAACAATTATTAAATGAAAACTAACATTATAAATCCTTCATTGCTTTGACTTCGAAATATTTATCCCTTGTGATGGAGCAGAGTAAAATAGGCTACAGTTACTATGCCAATGGGCAGAATTGGGCTTTTAAAGCTACATCAGCAACTGGTAGTGTTTTTGTGTGTGATTCATGCTCTGGTGTACATAAGTGACTGATAAAGTGATATGTTAAAAAAAGATTAAGCATTCATTTGGTTCGGAGACACAGAGAATGTTTCAGAGAACATTAAATACCACTGAGAGACTTATTGAAATATGTAACTGGATGTTGAGTAGAGCGTGCATACTCAATACAGGATATAGATCAGCAGCCAGTAGATGATGTTCCAAAATCAGCAGAAACGAGAGTTGACAATTTGTGATTGTGCCTACAATTTCTTTCTAATCTGAAAAACATCAAACTGATTTCTGCCAACACTACGGAGGGACTGAATCTCAATTTCGCTGTTGTCCTGGATATGCAAAACGTCATCCACAGTCGAAGTTTGTTGGCTGGAGCTTTCCTAATGTTTTTGATTAAATAGACGTTCGACAGAATACGATTAGGAGGTTAACGTGGCTGCTGAAGGAGCCAAAGTCCCAGTCGTGGATTGTGGACATTTTGTGCAATGGCGCATAGTTCTTACGGGCGAACACACCATTTTCAGGTTTTCACTGTAATTTCGAAAGGTATTCCACTATGATCACACACCAAACAGAACCAGAACGAGTCGGGCATAACATTTCGTTGCCCTTTTTTTATGATGATGATTCCAAATGATTCCTGCCTTGGTTACTGTTGGCTTGACCAGGAGCTATGACACCAATAATATTTGGGATGCTCGGTCATTCCCACTTTAGTAGTATACACATTGGGGCTACGGGACCAGGTTCCTCCCAAGAACTAAAATTAAACAAAAATGTTTTTGAGCCCTTGGGAAGTCCCTAATCCCGTAGCCCCATTGTGTATACTACTACTGAGGTGCATGCCAAATTTGATGGAAACCGGTCGAATAGTTTCTGAAATATTTGACTTTTAAGTGAGCATGGGGTTGGTAGGGTGAAATGTTTGTTTTTAAAAAAAAGAAGTTTTCTATGACAACGGGAGGGTTTTGAACTCAGTATGCTCTACACCAGCAGACTGGTTCTGCTAGCGTCAGTGTTATAAAACTATAAATAGAGACAGCGAGGAAGAAAAACTGGCGTTCAACCGAAGCAAGATAATTGACGACGACTTCGCAGCGCTGCACATAAACAAAAGCCACATCAAATTCAACGTGGGGATGAGCATCCTCGACTTATCCATACACTTGATGTACGATTTCTACTACAACAAGCTGAAAAAGCAGTACGGTGACAGGTGCTGTACATGGACACAGATTCCCTGCTGATTGAAATTCACACCGAGGACATGTACGAGGACATGAAGAAACACATGCACCTGTACGACACCAGCGACTACCCTAAAGATCACCCTATGCACAGCCAAGTCAACAAAAAAGTGCTCGTCAAGATGAAGGACGAATGCACGGGCATGCTGATCGCCGAGTACGTCGGCTTGAGACCCAAGATGTATTCCATCAAGAAAGCCGACGACGATGAAATCCGAAAGGCGAAAGGCGTGAAAAAACACATCAAACACGCTAGATTCAAGGAAGCCCTGTTCAAGAATAAAACGTTCAAACACCAAATGAACATGCTGAGAAGCAATATACAGGATATAAGGACTGAGAATCAACAAGACCTAACTGTCTCCCATGGACACGAAACGATGGATCGCCATCGACGGAGTCACCACTTACGCGTATGGGCACAAACGCGTATAAAAAAATTGAACGCTTACGAACACATCCGTACATACATCAGGGAGAAATTTATTACAGCCCACGCAGGTACTGGAAAGGCACGGATGCCATCCTGAAACTCGCCAAAGCCGCTCGAGTCTCGGAAGACGTCGCCAAAGCTTGGCTTAAAAAACAAGCCATATGGCTTCTCCCTCACGACAAGGTGAGGCGTAAAACCTACAAGTACGCCCTTACAGTCGTAGACGTTGCCACTCGCTACAAGGAAGCCGAACCGTTGATGATCAAAGATTCAAACGAAATCGCCAAAGCCTTAGAACGCATATTCAAATGCAGTCGCTTGACATGGCCTGCCGTATTGCAAATCTATCCCGGACGCGAGTTCATGGGAACCGTGTCACAGCTGCTGGCCAAGCAGAAAGTCCAAGTGAGACGAGGTGTAGCAGGAGCTCACCGTAGCGAAGCCATAGTTGAGAGATTCAATCGCACCTTAGCTGAACGTCTGTTCTCACAACAATACTCGCAGGATTTAATGGATCCCGGAAACAGAAACATGGAATGGGTCATACGCTTACCGCGAGTGGTGGATGTCATCAACAACGAAGTCACCAGACTCGTGGGCAAGAGACCAGTCGAAGCCATCAAAATGAAATCTGTCGAATCGTTGTCGGCAGCAGCATGTCGCGATAAAACAGAGAAAACATTGCCGGACCGGGTCAGCGGGAGAATACGAGGGAGACAGCAGAAAACGCGCCACCGATCTGATATGGTCCATGAAAACGTACAACATAGACCTTGTTGACATCAAAGACGGCGAACCGAACTTATACTCAAGATTTCTTGATGGACCTCCGAGAGCATTCGTCAGAGAGGAGTTGATGATCGTACCTCACGACACAGTACCTTACATATCACCCACCGTATGATGATAGTTTCTCGTCATGATTTTTTATCAATCTTGCATGCCTATTTTTCTGCTTAATGTAGCCAGCCAGCCAGCCACCATACACCTCAGTAGTAGTATACACAATGGGGCTATGGGATTAGGGACTTCCCAGGGGCTCAAATTTAAAATAAATAATAAAAAATTGAGCTCTTGGGAGGGACCTGGTCCCGTAGCCCCATTGTGTATACTACTACTTTTGTAATCACCATGTCATCGATTCTCTGTATTTGAGGTCTTCTAATGTCACAGGTCTCTCAGGTTGGGATTGTCATCAAGGGACTAGCTGTTGTGCTTCAAATCTGCTGCACACCTCTCTTTGTTGCCATGGGCTGGGAAGCCACCCCGTGTGGTAGTTTTTTCAATATCTTCCTCTTGATGGCGGCTTCAGTATTGCTGATGCCTATTTTGCCCTTTTGGTCAAATCTGTTTCTGTGGATACTCTAACTGTGTAATATTTTGAAATGACGATATATTCTAGACAACCAAGGGTCTCTAATAGAACTAAGGAGAGGCGAGTACAACTCTTAAAAGGTCATCAAACGTCCTCTCCTGAGCGATCACCACCACCAAGCACGTTTGGCCTGGTGTTTACCACGGCAACGCTGAAATCTGAGTACGTGGCGAAGAATACATCGTTCTGATGAAAGCCAACTCCTTCTTCATGTAACTGATGAACACTTGACAGTTTGGATACAACATTTGCAGGAAAATACATTCAGCCAACTGTTGGCTTTGGTGTCCCGTCACGGTCAGGACTATAACCACATTCAGCCAACTGTTGGCTTTGGTGTTCCGTCACGGTCAGAACTATAACCACATTCAGCCAACTGTTGGCTTTGGTGTTCCGTCACGGTCAGAACTATAACCACATTCAGCCAACTGTTGGCTTTGGTGTTCCGTCTTGGTCAGGACTATAACCACATTCAGCCAACTGTTGGCTTTGGTGTTCCGTCGCGTCAGAACTATAACCACATTCAGCCAACTGTTGGCTTTGGTGTTCCGTCACGGTCAGGACTATAACCACATTCAGCCAACTGTTGGCTTTGGTGTTCCGTCACGGTCAGGACTATAACCACATTCAGCCAACTGTTGGCTTTGGTGTTCCGTCTCGGTCAGGACTATAACCACATTCAGCCAACTGTTGGCTTTGGTGTTCCGTCACGGTCAGAACTATAACCACATTCAGCCAACTGTTGGCTTTGGTGTTCCGTCACGGTCAGGACTATAACCACATTCAGCCAACTGTTGGCTTTGGTGTTCCGTCACGGTCAGGACTATAACCACATTCAGCCAACTGTTGGCTTTGGTGTTCCTTCACGGTCAGGACTATAAACTTGAATGGGTGAGTGAGTTATTATTTAATGTCACATCGGCATTATGTCAGCCATATCATAGCTATAAGAGTTGTAAATATCAAAATAAAATCAGACAATATAAATATATGTCGAGAAAGAACAGTTAAATAACTAGACTATCACAGACGTAAAACTAGCAATTTATATATATATATATATATATATATATATATATATATATATATATATATATATAAATGCAACAATACAATATGGAAATGGGCTATAGATCGCCCATAACTGACAGTAGATCACCATAGTACTGACTATGGAGACTTACAGTAGTTTTGGTACCTGCTGACTCTAGCTGGATTTATACCACATCTCCAGATGTTAGCGATTTGGATAGATTTAGCCATGACATTGTTCTACGATTTAAAACGTAGTACGAATAAATAGACTTTGAATGGCTAGGTCTTAAGTACCCTCTCAGGGGGACAATTATTTTACACTACTCCCTTTGAGGGTACATCCATAACCAATCTCAATCATCAATGTATTCGACCAAACATTAAAATGATTTATTATATGCAGAACATATTAATCAAAATTTGTGAACCAACTCAATGTCTTTTTAAAATCGTATAATTAAACGAGAATTTATGCTAAAAGGATGCTTCATAGTTGAAACTTTGAAATATTTATCCCTTGTGATGGAAATAATGAACTGACACATTAGCTCCCATACACACAAGATCCCTCTTTCCTCGATATGCAGCCTGCACTAGGGAATGCAATTTCCCAGCGGGAGTAAACACTTCACCATACTCGCATGTCCGCCCTTGCATGCCCAGTGCAGGACGTTCTTACCGTCATTATCCACTTCTGACATTTTAGCCCCTTTTCTGACAAGAAATTTAAATATTCTACAATGCCCCTCATGTGCTGCCGCCATGAGGGGTGTCTTTCCGTGCTCCATATCTCTGATGTTGATGTCTACCAAACCCCAGGACAGGACGTGTCCAACCTGGTGCAGGTCCCCCTTCCTGCAAGCCTCATGAAGTGGGATGTTGGCAATTGATTCCTGCTTGTCGTTATGCTTTTCATCTGTGGATGTGTACATGATAATGATAAAATGCAGGAAATTTGTTGGCACCATGCATACCAGTAAACATCTAACAGAAGACCCGTGAAGATCTGGCTTAGACTTGATCTTCAGTAACCCATGCTTGTCGTAAGAGGCGACTAACGGGATCGGGTGGTCAGGCTCGCTGACTTGGTTGACACATGTCATCGGTTCCCAATTGCGTAGATTGATGCTCATGCTGTTGATCACTGGATTATCTGGTCCAGATTTGATTATTTACAGACCGCCGCCATATAGCTGGAACATTGCTTGGTTTCGACATAAAACTAAACTCACTCACTAACTCCAACATAATAAATACTATAATGAGGATTTCGTTTCCTCGTTTCTGACTAGAAACCTGGGCATTGATATCAACCATATTTAACATAGCCATGAACATGTTGATTGGAAATTGGAAATTCAAAGCAAAGTCTACTTTTACCTCTGATGAATACCCCCACTACTGTGTCCGGACCACGCTTCCAGAGTAAAGAATGGCCTGGGTTGCCAATGAAGTTCTTGAAGGGCATTTAGAAGTTAAGCGAACATGAATCTCATTACTGCTTGTAATTCCCTGCAGTTAGCGTTGGTCTCAGATGTCAGGTGGGCTTGTAACCCCCTGCAGTTAGCATTGATCTCTGATGTCAGGTGGGCTTGTAACCCCCTGCAGTTAGCGTTTGTCTCTGATGTCAGGTGGGCTTGTAACCCCCTGCAGTTAGCGTTGGTCTCAGATATCAGGTGGACTTGTAACCCCCTGCAGTAGCGTTGATCTCGGATGCCAGATGGACTTGTAATCCCCTGCAGTAGCGTTGATCTCGGATGCCAGGTGGACTTGTAATCCCCTGCAGTAGCGTTGATCCTGCAGTAGCGTTGATCTCGGATGCCAGGTGGACTTGTAACCCCTGCAGTAGCGTTGATCTCGGATGCCAGGTGGACTTGTAACCCCTGCAGTAACGTTGATCTCGGATGTCAGGTGGACTTGTAATCCCCTGCAGTAGCGATCTCAGATGAGGTGGGCTTGTCCTGCAGTTAGCAGATGTAACCCCTGCAGTTAGCATTGGTCTCAGATGTCAGGTGGACTTGTAACCCCTGCAGTTAGCATTGGTCTCTGATGTCAGGTGGGCTTGCAATCCCCTGCAATAAACGTTGGTCTCAGATGTCAGGTGGGCTTGTAACCCCCTGCAGTTAGCATTGGTCTCAGATATCAGGTGGACTTGTAATCACCTGCAGTAGCGTTGATCTCGGATGCCAGGTGGACTTGTAATCCCCTGCAGTAGCGTTGATATCGGATGCCAGGTGGACTTGTAACCCCCTGCAGTAGCGTTGATCTCGGATGTCAGGTGGTCTTGTAACCCCCTGCAGTTAGCATTGGTCTCAGATGTCAGGTGGACTTGTAACCCCCTGCAGTTAGCATTGGTCTCTGATGTCAGGTGGGCTTGCAATCCCCTGCAATAAGCGTTGGTCTCAGATGTCAGGTGGGCTTGTAACCCCCTGCAGTTAGCATTGGTCTCTGATGTCAGGTGGGCTTGCAATCCCCTGCAATAAGCGTTGGTCTCAGATGTCAGGTGGGCTTGTAACCCCCTGCAGTTAGCGTTGGTCTCAGATGTCAGGTGGGCTTGTAACCCCCTGCAGTTAGCATTGGTCTCAGATGTCATGTGGGCTTGTAACCCCCTGCAGTAGCGTTGATCCCGGATGCCAGGTGGACTTGTAACCCCCTGCAGTAGCGTTGATATCGGATGCCAGGTGGACTTGTAACCCCCTGCAGTAGCGTTGATCTCGGATGCCAGGTGGACTTGTAATCCCCTGCAGTAGCGTTGATCTCAGATGTCAGGTGGGCTTGTAACCCCCTGCAGTTAGCGTTGGTCTCAGATGTCAGGTGGGCTTGTAACCCCCTGCAGTTAGCGTTGGTCTCAGATATCAGGTGGACTTGTAATCACCTGCAGTAGCGTTGATCTCGGATGTCAGGTGGACTTGTAATCCCCTGCAGTAGCGTTGGTCACAGATGTCAGGTGGGCTTGTAAACCCTGCAGTTAGTGTTGGTTTCAGATGTTAGGTGGAGTTGTAACTTCTATAATTAGCGATGGTCTCAGGTATTAGGAGAGTAAGGAGCACTTGAGTTGGCACTGGTCTCAGATGATAGGTGGACCTTTAACCCTCTGCATTTAGCATTGGTCTCAGATGTCAGGTGGACTTGTAACCCCCAGCAGTTAGAGTTGATCTCGGATGTTAGGTGGACTTGTAACCCTCTGCAGTTAGCACTGGTCTCGGATGTTAAGAGGACTTGTAACACCCTGCAGTTAGCGTTGATCTCAGATGTTAGGTGGAGTTGTAACCCCTATAATTAGCGCTGGTCTCAGGTATTAGGAGAGCAAGGAGCACTTGAGTTGGCACTGGTCTCAGATGTTAGGTGGACTTGTAGCCCCCTGTCGTCAGCATTGGCCTCTGAGGTTAGGTGAACTTGTAGTCCCCTGTAGTTAGTTGGTCTGACGTATGAGGTGAATTTGTAACCCTCTGCAGTTAGCATCGGTCTCAGATGTAAGGTGCACTTGAAATTCCCTTTTGTTAGCGACGATCGGAGATGACAGGTGCTCCTTGCTCCAGTCTGTCTCAGATGTAAGTTTAACATCGATCACTATATTGTAGGATTGGTCTCTGGCATAAGGTGCGCTTGTAGCTTTTTTACATTTAATTTGGTCTCAGATGTAAGATGAATAAGAGCCCTCTCTATTTACCATTGATGTCTGATGAAATGTGGACTCGAAGTTCCCTCTTGTTGGGGCTGGTCTCAAAGTGAACAAGGACTGGAGTTAATGCTGGTCACAGAGGTAAGGTGGACTCATTAATCGCTATATTTAATGGTCACAGTTGTAAGTCCTATCGCTACTATTTGTATCAGGTCTAAGGTGGACGTGAAGGACCAGATAATGTGCACTGATCTAGCATACGAGGAAAGGTTAAATCTTAAGAAGGAATGTCACAACAAATACATACTTAGGGAGTATGTGAGAGAAATGCTAAAAATACCGTCTACACTATTACCTTGTACACAGACAGCTTTTCCAGATCGAGTCATCAAACATCGTTCACCGAAACTGCACATACTGGATGTACAGGAACCAGTTGTGACCTCCAAAAAGGACAAGGAAGAATTATGTTCTGCTGTATGTGTAAATATCAGAAGTTTTGTATTTATTTAACTGTCTTGATTTATGAACTAAGAATGTGATATTGCACCCACAGAGATACCTGAAAATATTGAAATTCGAAAAAATACATGAATATATTTGGGTCTAGATTTAGTGACTTAATAATTATGAAAATTAAAACATAAAATATAAAATTACTTTCATATGATTTGCCAATGGTTGCCAATGAGACATTGTTTAATACGCATCTGTTCGGGGCAATCTGTTTTGAGTAACATCCCAAATATATCCCACGAGTATTGATTTTGTAAAGATACGAAAGGATTGTGGAAAACGCATGACAGGGATTTATGAATAAAGACATAATATTTCGTGTGTGTATTATGTGTTGTTATACTTATTCACAGAATGTTAATTATTTAACCTTATTTCGTTGATAATTGTTTTTTCTCATTGTGAAATTCCTTTTAACGCAAATTTGAAATGCCTCAGCAAGAGTATTTTCCTGCTTGATGAATACTCTAAAATGAACAGTTTAAAAATCCTCGTCTCTCGTCCGACTCAATTTTAGATTTGAGAATGAGGAAGAAGCTTGTTTTGCACATTATCTAATGGTAGACTATTTTAATGATAAACTAAGACAAAAATCAATGAAACGAATGTGAAAACAATATATGTGGAGCTCTGCGATGTCACAACATTAAATACATTGGGCATGGCAGACTCTACAGCAACGGTATAATATGCCAAGGGAAACCACTCTCACCTTGCGTATAAACTAAGATTAGCTGCCCTTGAGTTATTGAAAAGGTCACGGCCATTGCTAATCGCATGCATACACCTTTCGTTACTATCCTTTCCTTGATTTTCAAAAAGTTATGTTGTCTCACACTTCTTCCAACACTGAACCGGGTGGGAATGGTACTTTGTGATATCGACAGACACGGACTTCAACACCATTTTGTCACAGACTACAATGATCTTAGCTCCTTACAATTGGTCCGGATCCATTGCAAGTTCCTATTGTAACTTACAATAATCTTAGCCTACAATCGCCTTGCCCTAGCGGATGGCGATGGCAGCCAAAGCATAAGATCGCGTTCTTAAGGATTTACAATGATAGTAGCGCTAAGATTGCTCAGTCCAAGTGCGTCCTGCTGATGATGAGTCGGAATTCAGAAGAGATGTCGTATCGTTATGGAGAGTGGTTTGCACATTTTTACTTACATTTGAATGATTCCTTGCAAGAATGACACGTCCTTCCTTCTTCTTGATCGTCTTTAATTCAGCTCTTGATAAACGACAGGTTAAAGTCGCAATATTGTATTCAATGCTCAAACATTGACCATTTTCAGCACATTTAAGCTGACACAGTTTGATGCCAACGTTCCTGATAACATAACTGTCTCCTTAGGTGTACACTGCTGTGTGGTTGATGTGGAACATACAAACATCAGAAAAGCCGTTAATTTCAGGTGTAGTTTCACACAGCCACTCACATACTTCGGTGTCATGTTCAAGAGCTAACAAGATCACCGGCTGTGAGATGGTGAATGACTACCACGAGGTTTAAGGATGACGGTCAGGGTCAAAGACTATTTTCACCAATGTCTGGAGGCTATCACCAGGTAGAGAGTGAACACAAGGTTATGAACGCCTGTGTCTGCAGACAACCACCTGATACACAGTGAACACAAGAACTGAACACCTATGTCTGGAAGCTACCACCGGGTAGACAGTCAGTACAAGGTACCTGTCTTGAGACTACAACGAGGAATACAAACACAAGAATACAGAAGACTGCAACGATTGTCATGAATATGCAGAGAGGAGGAGTCACGTGTTCCTATCAGCGAAGGGATTTCACGTCACATGACACCTGATTGATGTGCTGCATAACGAGGTATTTATAAACATAATGACATTAATCTTTCAGCCATGTCTGACTTGGACAAGAGAAAAGTGTTGGTTATTGTTGCACGTAAAATAATTCTATAACTTGATTTAGTCACGATATGGCCACTCAAGTTGCATGTCAAACTTTTCAGAGATATTGGTATAGATGTTTTGACATCGCCATAAGTTTCCTGCGTCTTTGTATTATTATTGATAAATGAAACATCACTCCGTCCCTGGTATTCCTCAGTCCTACACATTGTCAGAGAGAACCAACGGGATTGGGCGAAAGGCTCGCTATCTTGGTTGATGCACGTCATCGTATCCCAACTGGGTTGATGGATGCTCATGATGGACCAGACTCACTGATTTACGTACCGCCGTCATGTAGCCCGAATATTTCTGAGTGCACTGTTAAATCACAAGCACTACACCCAGACGTCATCCTAGATCACTGAACAGGAGGCGCAGTTGGCCTCTAATCTACC